TAAAATCGAGATAAAAAGTTAATAGCTCTGTTTTTAGAAAAATTAAATATTCGTAGCTATTTGCAGAGAAGGAAAACTTGTTATAGATATGTTTAAAAAGATATTCAATCATATCGGAAATGATTGTTCTTTAAAATATTATGAATAGAAATAATATTTTTAGATTTTACCAAGAAATAATGCATAGTTTCCCAGTTTTATTTCAGAAAAAAGTTCTAAACTTGTTTCTGAAAGTTTCAGGAACATCAAATTCTAATGAACTATTTCGTGTTTGAACAAAATAACTTTCAATAGTGAATATTTTCTACCAAGTCTGTTATCATATAGACTAATTCAAAAAAAGAAAAAGAAGTACTATACCAATTGCAAGATTATAAAACGATATTCTCATATATTAGATGATTTCACTAAAGATATAATTAAACTATCACATTGTATAACAACGATTATGTTTATTCGCGGCAATTTAATAATGAGAAGGGTCAATGAACATTGTGTTTGTGGATCCACTTGTCATAACAATCAATGCCAGCGCCTACATTCAATGATTGTGTACTCAATTCGAATGAAAATGAAACGTGTTCCAAGTTCGAAAAGTCGTAGTCACATTCATATTATTTTTTTCTACATAATTTAATAAAAATTTTTAATATTTTCGAGTGGGACCTCTATAGAAATATCAGCAGCTGTGAGCAGCAATACAAAAACATATATCTTTCTCTTTAATGATAAATTTATTGGTTTCTGCCTTCTGTCATATATTAAGTGAAACCCTTGAAAATACTTGGATATTTCAGTATAAATTGGGTGTATTTTTTATTGTTCCGAATATTTCAAAACCATTATCGTTTAGCTATAGTTTCTTAATATGATTATCATGTTACGCACTCGTCTTTATGTGGCGATTTCAGTTCTTATATTTGCTGTGCACTCATCACAAGCTGCTAATTGTACATCAACATCGTTTGACCAAGCTGTAACTGCAGCACAATTAGCTTTGTCACTAATAAATGGTACTCAATATGCATCATCAACAACAGACCAACTCAATTCTATGTTTTCTAATGATTTGGGTGAAAGTGCCGCTGGTATTAATTATACTATACAAAAAACCGGTGATGCAGTTACATTTTCATATACAATTACTTTTGCTTGTAACGCCACAATAACAACTGCATTACCCGACGGTACACAACAAACAACAGAAGTTAAATCTAAACTTAATACAACTGCTGTTGGAGAATGTATTTCAGCTGGTTTGTAATTTAAGATGATTTTTAATTTTTTTCAATCAAACACTTTGTGTTCCTGTATGCATAGGTCTTACTGATCGAACTAATCACATATCACTTACAGCTGAACAAGTCAAAGCAGGTCTAATTGATGCAACTACTGAATTTAATACGGGTGGTCCAAGTTATTTTGAATGGACAATACACACAACAAAATCATCATATCTAAATGCTTCAACAGCTAGCTCATTTAAAAACGCGACTGAGTTTCCGACTGCTCTTGCTAATTTTATTCGTACACGGCTCAGTTCAATTTATCAAAAAAAAATTAGTAACGTCACATTTATCTCATTAACAACAGCTAATACACAATATGCGCTGAAATTTCGACTTTACTTTGTTGATCGAATAACGCCAGACAGTTCGCGAACAAAAATCATTACAAATATACAAACAACTATTTATCAAGCAATACGAAATTACTTTCCATCAATTCTAAAAACGACGAAAATTCCAACATCATCAAGCATTAGTGCACCAACACCAGTAGTTTTAAAATCAACACGAAGAATCTCATTATTACTGAACAATATTGCAAATTCAGTACTATCAGTAAGTGATAAGAGTCCATCAGTACTTGGCGGAGTATCAAATGCTATCGGTAATGCCATCCAAGACCTTCGAGCAGCACTTCCAGTTCCGCCGCCATCTAAGTCCGGTAAACCGGATAATTCTGAAAGCCACTCAGGCGAACGCGGTAAAGCTGGACACAAAGCCAATTCAGGAGAAAAAAACAAAAAAAGTGGATCGAGCGGTGCTGGATCACATGCACGACCGGCTCCACTTGGAGGAGTATCAAATGGTATAGGTAATGCCATCCAAGGCCTTCGAGCAGCTCTTCCAGTTCCACCGCCATCTAAGCCCGGTAAACCGGATAATTCTGCTAGCCACTCAGGCGAACGCGGTAAAGCTGGACACAAAGCCAATTCAGGAGAAAAAAACAAAAAAACTGGATCGAGCGGTGCTGGATCACATGCACGACCGGCTCCACTTGGAGGAGTATCAAATGGTATAGGTAATGCCATCCAAGGGCTTCGAGCAGCTCTTCCAGTTCCACCGCCATCTAAGCCCGGTAAACCGGATAATTCTGCTAGCCACTCAGGCGAACGCGGTAAAGCTGGACACAAAGCCAA